ATTGAGATTGAATGAATGATGGATTAACCAGAGTTGTGCCTCTTCAAAAACCGTCGGGTACAACTCAAAAACGATCCATTCACTCACTTATTCCGTTACCTATCAACACAACCATAATAGACCACAATCATAACAACGAAACAACAACGGTACATTCTAATGTGGTCACAACCGATAGGAACAGTTATAAAAGTTGGGTTAGGGTACCAAAAAATAGTGCAAACTGGCTTATTTACTTGCTGATAATGTGACAGACATTCAGTGGACTGCAGTGTACAACTCATACATACTCACTAAAAACGTTACTACCGGGATTCTACGTTGAGTTAATTGGAACGGCAAGCGTTGACAGAGGCATGTTCAGAATAGAATTTATATTCGAAAGAGAGTGTCTGCCACAAGACAGGAATAGAATAAAAGCAGTAACAAGTATAAATTTAGTCATCTTTGTAGGAATGCGGAAGTTATAATGACCGAGACACACTGCGAAACACTAACTGAACAAGAAACCAATTTTGAAAGAACTATGGAATAGTTATCGCAAAGGCCACGGCCAGGCTCACGGCCTTGTTGGGTGCAAACACATTCTCGTCCCAGTTACCTGTTACGTGTTCAGTCTCGCTCTTCGGTCTGGAGTGGTCCCCAGAGTGTTCAAAAAGGCATTGGTTTACCCTGTTTACAAAGGTGGGCATAAAGGCAGCGTCAATAAATATAGGCCCATCTCGGTCTTAACTGCATTAGCTAAGCTCTTAGAAAAAATCTTAAATAAGCGTTTACTGGACTTTTTAAAAACACACAATTTACTAGCTTCCAATCAATACGGTTTCAGAGCAGGCAAAAGTACTGAAGATGCGGTTCTTGAGTTATTGGGTTCAGTGGCACAAAATCTGAAGAAAACAGACAAGACATCTTGCCATCTTCTGCGATCACTCTAAAGCGTTTAACACCGTTTCTGTGCCACGTTTACTTGAGAAAATGTAGCTTATTGGCATTAGAGGCCTTCCACTTGATTTATTCGCCAGTTACCTGACCAGGCGTTCCCAGGTGGTCAAAATATATGGCCTTATAAGTGGAGAAGAGTTTCTTGAGTACGGTATTCCTCAGGGTCATGTCCTTGGGCCCACCTTCTTCCTGTTATATATTAATGATTTGTGCAAACTCTCCCTCTCAAATTAGAAAATTATCACGTACGCAGATGATACAGCAATAGTGGTGAAGGGTAGAAACTGGTCTGAGGCTCACTATTTTGCGGAGTCTGCATTGCAGATTACTATGAGGTGGTTGGCATTAAAGGACAATGGCAGGTCCCTATACATAATTTTATTTGAACTGAAATAGTAGCGTTTAAATATCAAAAATGCCTAAAACACTTGAGAATTTATTCTTGACCATTCTCATAACAAAATTACTAGCGAAAGAAGTCTAGGAAAAAATATATTGTATTTTGAATGTTTCGAGGTTAAGTACTAACATTTTGTCAATGTTTTGTTTGAAAGTAGATGGCGTTGTGTCTCATATAAACGAAAATATTATACTCATTATTATTACTCATAAACAACCCATTTTGCTGTTGAAAGTGTTAGCCGACTCTCTAAAAGGGTGCACGTTATTTTACCAATACATAGTAAAACAATAGAAAAAATCTTCGCTCACCAAGCAGGTGTAATACTAGCTATAAATAAATAAATAATAAATTAAAAATAATAATTCGAATAATTATACTTCAACACACATTTACACAAGGCAGAAACAATTTATTTATTGGACAGCTGGTAGTTGTTACATTATTTACTAAAATCTAAAGCATGCATCCGTTACATTGAGACTAATGCACAACATTTTAAGGCGTCACATCATGCATAACAGACTATACGAATCGACTATACAGGACTGCACGGATGGCGTAACGGTTTAAGCGGTCGCCACGCCGCGCCGCTCACTACTACGCTGAGTGTTGTGGGTCCGATCCCCACATGGGACGACACTTTGTGTGATTCACAAGTTGTTGTTCTGAGTCTGGGTGTTCTTTGTTGTTTCGTGTATGTTTGTAAAGTCCCCGCGACACATGATATATTCCTAATGTGGAAGTAGTCTTAAAAAAAACGAAAAAAAAAACTATACGAAATTAAAAATATAAAAACAACATAAATGCCGTGTAAGCAATGGTCCTGAAGTCATGCGTGTGAGTGTCAAACGACAAGACTGGTGAGTGCGGCAGTCGACAGGATCCAAACGGCGACGTATCGACATTTTGAAAATATCGATATATGCCTATTTATGAGCCGTTTTCAAAAACAGTGTTTTTTTCTCATCACACTGTGCAGTATATTTTTATACTGCAAACATTGTTAAAATAATGTAACTATATTCTATTACTTTAGTCTAGTCTAAATTATTGCAAATTATGTTGATTTAGTCACTTTACCGTGCGAGTGAACTTTCGGTAGATATTTCAGCAAAAACTATAAAAATCGATTTTCAATAAAACGTATCATAATATAATAATGCCATCACGCATCCCTAGTCGGTTATCAGGATGGCGAATCTGACATTACGTACTTAGTCAATTAAAATCTTCAAAAATATCCGATCTCTTATAAAACTTATACAACACATGGTGGTGTAATGATAAATCATAGAAAAAATATTTATTAAGTTTCCTGTGAGTCCATTTTTTAAACGCTTGAGTTTTAGGTAAATATGTTTCCGTCATTGTTCTTTGCTAACTATAAATTTAGGAAGACTAAGTTTATTACTTTTAGCCCAAGACAGGCTTCACAGCCTGTTTACTTTGGCGGCACATATGTAGTACTGTACCAAACAGCAACTGTAGCTGATGTAAAATTATGCGCACTGATTGCATTAAGTACCTTGGTATATTGATCGATAGCACGTTGACGTGGAATGGGCAAGTTAACTCGTTGGTGAAAAGAATAAGGAAATTAATATTAATTATTATTAATATTCGTTTGAAAAAACTTGGGAAACTGCTGATTTATCTACTTTACGAACCATCTATTTTGCCTTAGCTCATTCCATTTTAACTTATGGTATTTCCGCCTGTGGTCGTGCTGGGAAGTGTCTGATGTTGCGCTTGGAACAGGCTCAAAGAGCAGTACTGAAGGTCATGTCTCACAAGCCTATGTATTTCCCTACTAAGGAATTGTACGAACTTTGTAAAATTCCTACTGTAAGGCACTCTTTCGTGCTTAATGTAATACTGCGACACCATTCTGCTGTGTTTTTTGATCTGGAATTGTCTGCACGTAAGCGGCATTCCGATAGGGTCTGCCAAACATATCCAACTTAATTACTAGTGGTTAGACGCCTGTTTATCTATTTCGCCCCAGTATTATATGACAGAGTTAATAAAGCATTAAACATTTATCCTCACTCATCCAGACAGTGTCGATTGCTTACGGACAAATGGCTAGCTTCACTCTCATACGAAGAGTTGGAGAATCTAACTAAATGGTGAGGAAGTTCATATACGTACATTCGTACGCAATACGTACATTCACAAACACACACACACACCACACACACACATACACATACACACGCACGAACACAAACACACCACACCACACACACACCACACACAAACACACACTATTCACAAATTTTATTGAAATCAATGGAACGATGCTGTCGTCTCCTTTTTGGAGGTGGACGTTAATAGCCATGACACAGTTTTTAACTAATATGGCTGTTATCGAACATCTTTAAATTATATATTGTTTTCTTGTTCGAAATAAAGATTTAAAAAAAAAAAAAAAAAAACAAACTAGAAAAAAGAGAGGGTTACCAGGACAATTATTAACGTAAATTTTTGGTATAAATGATGAAGTATACAAAGACATTGAGTTACTAAATCAAAATCAACAACATATATATTTTTTTAATAATTGAAGCCGCTAACCATCAAACAAAGTTCAAGCTCTCGACGATCTCCCAAGTGAATAGCACTGAAGAAAGAATTGCACAAAAGCTACAAATTTTTCAGTCTAAATTAAATCGGGTGATAGATAGTATTAGCAATTACAATCACTGGTATGTTGCGGTCGATCGTAACAATATTAAAATCCAGATAATGCAAACATATCAGCTTGCAAGTGCATACATTACTGAAATTACTGACCATTATAACAGTTTATTAAAAATTTACTTAGGCAACTATTTATAATATTTTACCCCCAAAAAAAGTGAGTGATTTAATATCATTAGCTAACAGAAAATTACCTTCCAATTTGAGGATAGTGCAACAACAGTTACTAGAAACCAAAATAAACGAAAATGCGACACACATACAAGTACACGCATATTTCCCTATTCGAGACATTAGTAAATACATGTTAATTCATGTTACAGTAGTTCCAAAAAAGAATCCACGGACCTGCTGGGGTTCTCCCAGTGGGCGGGGAGGAGTACCCCGACGTAGCGCGTTCCCGGGTGGCGGATAGGGGAACGGCCCCCAGATGTGGGGGTTACCGGCATTGGCCGGCGTGGACCAAACTCAAGGGGTCGCTTCTGCCCCGTCGACGCAGTCGATTAGGCGAGGACGCGACCACCCGCTTAGGTGCAGGCGCATCTGGGCGGGGTTTGTTTGTCTCCTCATTATTGAGGAGCAAACCTCTTGATCCGCTGAGTCGGGCTGGCCGGACAGCGGACGGAGGCATGCTTCAATGCCGCCGCCGGGGGGCTTGGCTTAACCGCCTGGCCCCAGAGGAAGGACACCTCTAAGATAAAAAAAAAACACCCAATCCCAAGTTTCGGGAGCACGGCGAGAGGATGAATGGCCGTTGTTGGTACGGTCGTTAGCGCTCCCACCTGCTGGTACCTGCCGCCCCCAGCAGTATGTAAGCTTACCCGGGTACTTAAGCCTCTGCCCGGGGTTGACCAGTTTTGCTTTATACTCTTGGGATCAAAAATGGAGAACCTTTGAAAATAAAACAAATGACGTAGTGGGTGAAAAAGTACCTCTGGTACTAATTGAGCGAATGGGCGTGCCGTCGGATTCCGATAGCGCGTCCAGCGTGAACTCAAAAGGCTTACGCAAACGCCCGAGACAGAGTGCAGACTCAGGGTCAGACTCGGCCCGGAGCGTCACAGCGGTGCCGGCCCCCAAGGACGGTGCCAAAAAAGGAGGGAGAGGTAGGCCCGCTACTACCGGCAAATATGCCGGTATCGGCCTATCCAGGCGTGAGGCTGCGGCTGCAATGAAGGCCGCAGCAGTTGCCGAAAAACTAGAGGAGGACGAGCGGCAGATTGGGGCTCTGATGAAAAGGTGACGGAATGGAGAGTCACTCGCCTGTCGGAGTCGACGACGTCTGCCGCCTCTGATATGGGAGTCAAGGCAGAAGAGCTACCTGCCTCCAACCTAAGCCTAAGAATGGCCGCACGGTTGCAGCAATAAGAAGGGTGAGCAAGGTCTCGAAGGGACTTAGCGGCTGCACCCAGAAAGCACTTAAAGAGGCCACAGCCTCCATTCTGGAAAGTGCTCAGGTGCTTTTGACCCGCACAACAACAGAAGAGACGGCGCTGCTGCGGGCCCAGAACGCAAAGCTCGCAGCGCAAATGACGGAGCTCCGCAAGGAGCACGAGGAGCTCAAGGCGGAGATGGCCAACTTCCGCCGCGAGCACCTCAGGCGGGGAGGTGGGCCTTCCGCACGCAACGCCGCAATCGCAACTGCAGTTGCCGTCACAGCCGTTAAAGCAGTAGTCGCCACAGGAGACGGAGCTCGCCTGATCCGTCAGGAGATGGCGAGTTTCGACGCGTGCTTCTCGGTGCTTGAGGGGAGGATTCTACGCCCCCCCCTAGCTATAGACCAACGCAGCACACCGGCGCCGACATATGCGACCCAAGCCGCAGCGCCCCGTGCCGCCCAACCGGCACAAGCAGCTGCTGCCACACTAAAGAGGATGTTCCAACTGCCGCCTCGCAAAAGGAAACTGCAGGGCCTAAATCAAATAGGCAGTTAAAAAAAGAGGCTAAACTGGCCAAAAAGGCAGGTGCTACGGCTGCTCCGCCAGCACAAACTGCTAGGCCAGTAACGCGCGAACCCGCCACTAGACCTGAGGCGGAGTGGACGGTTGCGGGCGCCGCCAAAAAATCTAAAAAGCAGGCCCAGAAGGAACAAGCGGCGGCCAAGCGCCAGACCGCGAGGCTTAGAACCCCTCGCTCTACAGCAGTGGTTCTCACCCTGCAGCCAGGGGCGGAGGAGCGGGGCCTCACATATGCCTGGCAAAGGCGAAATCCGAGATTTCGCTGAGTGATCTCGGTATACCTGGCCTCCGGTGCAAAACAACTGCTACCGGCGGTCGCCTACTGGAGATATCGGGAACTACTAGTGGTCCCAAAGCAGACGCCCTCGCCGATAGACTCAGGGCGTCTCTAGGCCCGGACGATGTAAGAGTGTCCAGGCCAACGAAATGCGCAGATCTGCGCATTTCGGGCCTGGACGATTCCGTCACACAAGAAGAGGTCGCCGCTGCCATCTCCAGGGCCGGAGGATGCCCGCCGGATCAAGTCAAGGCGGGCACGATACGCCGGGGTGTCTCCGGCCTCGGGACAATTCTTGTCAGCTGTCCCGTAGCGGCGGCCAAAAAGATAAAAGACAAACGGCTTCTAGTTGGATGGCTCTCGGCGCAGGTCGCACTCCTTGCGCCCAAGCCCTATCGGCGTTACCGCTGTTTAGAAGGAGGACATGCAGGGGCACGGTGCACCGCTGGGGTAGACCGCAGCCAAATGTGCTTACGCTGCGGTCAACCCGGTCACAAGGCTGGCACTTGCACTGCCACGCCGCACTGCGTCATCTGTGCGGCATCTGGTAAGCCAGCCGACCATCAGACCGGGTCAAAGGCCTGCGCCAGGCCCAAGAAGAGGAAGAACAATGCCAGTATCAGCTCCTCGCAGCCGGTTCACCCGCCGGCTTCGGCAGCCATATTTTGTGCCACCCAAGGATGACTGGGTGTGCGACCAGCTGGCCATTGTCCGGGCAAAGGCCCAGACCAACGAAGAGCTGCTGGAGACTCTGGACCGAGAGCCGTGGGGACGCCCCTACCTTATGGTACGGGGTGTAATGTTGGGGTTTGGATAAATTAGACAACCACTTCGGTTTACCTACGTTTAGTGAATGCCACATTCTGATACCTTATCGGCACAATCTGATACAATGTCGGCTAGCTCTAATGCAACAACTGTATATTCTGAACCTTTAGATATAGTGGTACAAGCAGAAGTACATCGACCTAATGAATGTAACTGAAATTTTATTACAGGGCTTGCGCCGGTCCAATAATCAGGCTATAGGGAGTAACAACTCCGGTTTAGCAAGGGCTATAGGGAGTAACAACTCCGGTTTAGCAAGGGCTATAGGGAGTAACAACTCCGGTCTAGCAAAGGCTATAGGGAGTAACAACTCCGGTCTAGCAAAGGCTATAGGGAGTAACAACTCCGGTCTAGCAAAGGCTATAGGGAGTAACAACTCCGGTCTAGCAAAGGCTACAGGGAATAATCATTCCGGCCTAGCCCCTCTAGAGAATGTAAAAACGAAAGTTTTGCAGAACCTCAGGTCGGACCAAAACTAATTACCATAAGTCTGAAGGGTCAGTTTGGACCGAACCAGACGCTATAATATTGTCAGGATAATCGAACGATGTTTTTCCTTCAGATATCTAAACGTAAGAAGGGACGCGTGCGAGGGCGCACGCACGTCAGCATGGCCGTGTCGGCGCCCGCGCGCCGCCTGAGCGAAACCGTAAACAACACGTGCACCGATCACGCCACCGAGCGCGTCATTCGATGCCCCACTCTCCTCACTACTAGATTTGCCGGTATAAGAGATGTGTAACGATCATTTTCAAGGCCTGCTCCGACTCACCCCAACCCTCTAGTGGTTGCGGCTGTTAATTACACACCCAGCAAGATTTCACGCACACGCAGACCGAAACATCCGACCGAGATATCCGAGAATTTAGCACAAATCTGTTCTATTTCTAATTGTTCCTCCTTATTCAAATATTATCCTAAATTGAGTAAAGAAAATAACGTTCGTATTCTCTCGACGCTAATATCCGGCTTCCCAAACTTACAAAATTCATAGTTATCTAATTTATCGACCTCAAGTTCGTTCAAACCTAGTGAAACTTCCTTGTCAGTGGGTATTCAAAATTCTCACTGAAATCTTACCATTTTTCGGCCCAGCTACTACACTAGCTAAAAAAATACCTTGTCTTATCTCTTTAGGGTATATGACACAGTCATAAGTAACGCGTGTAGGTATATACTTAATGATCTCACATCGCGGTGCGATAGAAAAATAATAGTTATAATAATGTAAAGGTAAACTAAACCTACTCTGTGCGACTTTAAGAGAGAGCATGTCTGTCTCATAATCTATGACGGTATAATATCGCTTCACAAAATCTTGTCCTAAGATACCTATCGCCTTACACGGTAAATTCCTAAATACGTAAAACTTATGCTTAACAAATAAATCGTTATGTCCTAATGTCAAGTAAACAAAACCTACTGACGTTAAGGTACCACCTATACCATTAATGTTTAACTCACATTTATGTAATTCTAATTTAGTTAAATCTAAAAGTTCATATTTAATAGCTGATAAAGATGCCCCTGTATCTACTAAAAAGTCTAATTGTAACTTATTTACACTAAAATTTACCCAATTAATACTATCGCAGGATAAGACCTGATTAGGAACGAAAAAACTGGTCTAAATTATGATCATCTTCGTTATTATTCAACGAAGCGGGGGAATCATTTTGATTAGTTGCAGTAAAATGATTTAGATTTCTAATACAAGAACGCTTTGCGCTGTTACCGCGATTTCCACGAACGTACCTGAAACCTGAAGCGCGCCGAGTGCGGTTACCGTGGGAGCCTCGCCACGCGTTCTCTGATGATGCCGACATTCTATTATTACTTGGAAAATAATTATTATACGAATTACGACCACGAAATCCACGTGAAAAATATTTTTTATTATTGGTAAGCCAAGGCGCTTGCCGATTGTACGACATGAAAGGAGGGCCCGAAGCTGTATTAGATTCATCTTCGGCTACTCTGATGGCATCTTTCAAAGATGTCAGATTACGTGCTGAAATGATAGTCCCTAACTTTTGGCTTCTCAAACCTTCCGAAAAACATTTAATTGCATTCTTTTCATTTAAAGGGCGCAGTACTTTGTATGCATTGTCGTCACCATCCGCCTGTGAAATAGTTAAATCCACAAATATTTTCTCTATCTCTTTGCCAAACTGTTGTACAGATTTTTCACCTTGCTTACATCTCTGTAAACTAGCCTGTAAAGCAGTGTCAGATTTGCGAGTTAGTAAATGTATACGCATATCCTCTAATAGTGAATTCACAGAACTATAAGAAGTAGCTAAACGCATTTTAGCTCCACTTGTTAATCGACTTTTTTAAACAAATTTGATTAGCATCTGCTTATCACCATCATTAAGCATCGACTCGTATAATTCAATCACATCAATTAAATCCCGAGTCATCTGTTCATCTCCCGTCATTTTCGGTAAAAGGCTTACGGCCGTTTTTAAACTGAATTTTTCACCCGACATTGTTCCCGATTTACTACTACTATAATTATATAAAATAGATTCTTTCTCAAAAGTCAAAATTTTGTCATAACATTTCTCTATGCAAGAGCATAAAAATACTAACTCTTCAGACACATCTTTCGGTAAATTACACAAAATACTTTTAAAAGTCTCGTACAAACTTTTAGCTTTTAAAATCTTATTTTCAAAATTACATCCTGTCCGTCTAAAGGGACCTAATTTGGAAATATTTTCTTTAATTTTATTCAACTGTTCATAAATTTGAGTTATATCTATTTCTAAACTCATAATATATTTATAATATAATGTAAACAAATTGCATTCATATCATAAAATTAATTAGGTAAGGAGAAAACAAAAAAATTACACGAAAATACCACATTTAAATGATTGCTTGAGCCAACAAAGGATCGTTTATCCAGTTCTCTCGGCAGTGGCAGCGGCAACATGACCCCGTATGGATGCCCGAATTCTCTCAATCGCTCTGTTATGCGGGACCTTACAGTTAGCTTTTTTAAAAAAAGGTATTTAAAACACTGAAGGTTATTTATTTGAATTAAATAAAGGAAATAGAAATATTTATGAATTAGAATAATGAATCCGACCCGAACCGAGTTCGATTGTAGACTGACGCTCCGATGCGCTCAGGGTTTATATCGGTTTTATCAATGCTGGCTCAGCAAGACCAGGGTCTGTTAGTCAGCCCTAATGCCTACATCGACAGGGTGTAACAACCCCCCGCGGAAAACTGATGTTCGAGGAAAAATCGAAGTTCAGGAATAGTTAGGCGACTTCCCTCAGTCGCGGCAATGGTAGGGGTGAATCCCTACTTTGGAAATTGTCATCGTTATCGGTAGAGGTCGGATTTGAATTGGAATTGTTAAATCTATTCTTATATTTATAAACAATTTTACTTAATTTAAACAATACATAAGAAAATACAATACAAGAAATAATTGATGTGAAAACAGTGTGACGAGTCTCGTAACTTGAAAATACAGGGTTTTTATTTATAATATTCCTGAGGTCGGGAAACAAGTTATCATAATGAGTTTTTACAGTTAGATCATCCAAATCTATGTTATTTAACTTAACAGGAATAACATTATTTAATAAACTACCATTTAATACACAACATGAGTCATTTATAATGTTAAAATCTAAATTAGGACTAGGGATACTTATAATAATAGAGTTAATAGGGGAAATAAGTCTTGCACTTTTTGTATACACTGTGCACTAATTGGGGGTTTGAAGGATTCCGGTGCCGACCACTATTATCTCTTTTAGTTCGGTGACACCACACTCTATAGAGATTTTATTTGGACACGATTGCACAAAAATCCATCGATTATTAGTGACTGGTTTCCAGATGTCGA